CTCTTTCCTTTGTGAGGAAGGCAGAGCAAGGGGCAATGTATCCAAGTGAATGTGGAACATAGATTTAGATACACTTGCTGTATCTAAAGAAAAAATAAAATAAAAAAAATGTTGCAGAACACTATTTTTCCCCACACACATTACAAAATGAAACTTTAGAGTAGAAGAGGGGTTGAATAACAGTTTTTGAATCCTACTCGGTGATAAAATAAATCAATTATCCCAAATTGTGTAACTGATGATAAGTTTATGAAGTAATTAAAGGAGCAGGTGATAGTACACTTTTGAGGAGTCAAATACTACACAGACAGAAAGCAATGTTGTTTAGTTTTAAACATCAAGGATTATCTTATTTTTTCTATGGTTTGCTCTTGCACTTGAGTAAATTTCTTTCAATTCTCCAGGTGCTTTTCCTACATGAGTGCAAGAAGAGTAGCCAGTTAAAAGAAGTGACTGCTGTGGAAGAGAGCATGACCACCATGAAAGGAAGCTGCATCCTTGCACTGCTGTTGGCAGGACTTGGGGTATTAGGAATACTGGAGACAACAACAACAGAAGATACCCACTGCCACAGAGCTGAGCACCCTGTTATTGCATATAAAGGTAAGGGGTAAGCACAAAAAAACTTTTATGGAAGTAGGCTGAGTATTGTGTAATCTTGTCATGGAAGCCTCTGCTTTTAATATGCAAAGGTATGAAGAAAAAAAAAAAAGTACATTCAATGCTATTATGTAGTAACCTGGACTGTGTTCTAAACAAGTTAATTACAACGAGGCTTGCAAAGTGTGTTCACCATTTGGTGCTGAATTTGTCATTTTAAAGTGGATGACTCACTTTCCTCTGTGATTAAAACCAGCCTGTACTGTTGCATTAGGTTGTTCCTTTCCAGGTGCAGGACTCTGCTTGTGTACACTTAAATTCATGAGGTTGCTCTTGGCCCATTCCTCCAGCCCCTCCAGGTCCCTCTATACAGCAGTTTTGTTCTGAAACCTATCAACTGTTTCTTTGAGTTTTGTGTTATCTGCAAACTTTAGAGACTGCACTCTGTTGTCTCTCCTTGGTTAATGAATTAAGGTGTTTAACAGGACAGGTCCCGGAATCAACCCTTGTGATATTCCACTAGTTACCAGCCTCTTGGTGGAGTAAAGTCCATAAAATGTTTACTCTCAGGACTTGATCATCCATCTGTCTTTTTACCCATCTGGTTACCTACTTGCAAGGACAGACTGTAACATCCTAACTTGCAGCGAGACAGTGTTGAAAGTCTTGAGATAAATGATATTGCCTGCTCTCCCGTCATCTTTAAAACTAGTCACTTTACAATGGAAGGCAGTTGGGTTGGTCGGGAGTGATTTACCCTTGGCAGATCCATGCTGACTGTTCTCAGTCACCTTATTCTCCTCTGTATGTCCAGAAAAGTGCATTCCAAGAGGACTAACTCCATAACGTTCCCAGGAACTTGAGATTGACTGACCTGTAGTTCCCACATTTGTTTTCCTGCAAGTACTGAGGACCTTCCTTCATCTCTGTGACTTCTCAGAGATGAAGAGTAGCCAGTTATCTCAGTGTTCATGGATGTAGTTTGTCTGATCCCATGGATTTATATAGGTTGAGATCTTGCAAGTCATCCCTGACTCAGGCTGCACCTACTGTTGGTAGTTCTTGAACCCCTTCATTAAACACCAGATGCCTTTGAGACCTTGCTGCTGAAGCCTGAAACTAAGGAGGTATTGAGTCCCTCAATGCCATCTGTGTCTGCTGGCACTAGATCACCTTCCCAATTCAGCAACAGGCTTATATTTTCCCTGTTCGACTTCTCATTACTATTGTAGCAGTAGAAGCTGCTCTTGTTGCCCTTGACATTCCGTGCAAGTCTTAACTCCCACTGAACTTGGTTTAGCCTGACACAATCCTTACATGTCCATGTGGTGTTTCTAAATTCCTCCTTGGTCGCCTTGTCCCTGCTTGCACTTTATACATACAGCCTTTTTGCAGTGGAGCTCCATCATGAGTTCCTTGCTTCACCAAGCCAATCTCTTCATACATATGGTTAATGTCTTGAGTGTTGGGATGGACTACTAAGGAACAGTTGGAACAAAGTGAAGAACACTTGGAGGATGTTGTCTGTAAAAACCTGAGGCATTTAATAACTTATCCGATTTTTTATTTATTTGAATTGAGATTTTTTTCATTAGTGTCGCACTTAGAACAAGTTCCAAATAGTTTGTAGCTATGAGGATGTAGGGATTAAGAGTTATTATATTACATATTGCATTCCTCCTGTTTTTCTAAGAAAGAACATACATAGTTTTTTTGTTCCAATGAATTAGGATTTATTGAATTTTAATTGAAAAAGGATTTGTTTCCATTCTTTTAATAAAATTAGAGAAAATATTGTGTTTTCTACAGAGTATTTTTGTTCTGGCATTTTAATGTTTTAATAAGAGTAATGGTACCAGCTGTCCCTTTCTCCAATACATTGGAAAATGTACTAACGTGTTTACATTCTGTACCTGGGAACTGCAAACCATCAGTCTGTTGTGAAGGAGAGAGACCTTTATCTATCATTTATTGATGATAGTATGATTTATTCTGCTGAAATATGTCTTTTTCTTAGCGTTCCTGTTATGTGTATAATTGAGTTTAAAAATGTTATTTTTATCATAACACACAAACTATGTTGTAAAATGAAAGAGTACAGTTAAAATTCTGGCACTTAACTGCTTAATTTCACAAACTAAGGGATCACTGCATGTACTTTTATTTTTTTAATATATATGCAACTGTAAAAGCAAAAAACTGAGACAAATTACCAGAGCCACATGCTAAAAGTTGATTAAAAATGTTGAATGAACATTTGAGTCTGATTAATGATTCAGACAGTCACGCTTATGAATCTGATTCAGACAACATTTGGGAGAGTGGCTTGAATTTATCCTGATCCTGCCTTTTAGACTGTTATTGTTGTCTGTCATATTTAATTTCTAGTGATGTCCTTCCAGTTCTAATTTACTGTGCTAAGGCTTTTTGGGGAGAGAGACCTCCGTTTTTGTCTTGTTTCAGTTGCATCTTTTGATGTAGCCAGAGATAGTGTCACAGTTAGAGTTTACTGAAAAAAACCCAATTTCTTTTTGCTGTAATATATGTGGGAAATACAATCATATAGAAGCATTTATTGTCAGATGGTTAATATGAGATTTAGTAAGATTTTCAATGCCAGACTCTCTTTTGACCTTTGTGGTAAAAATATCATTAATCGGTACATATCTGTGACATACCTTAGCTTTTATGAATTGACATATCTTGGAAAAGTTTGCCTTCACTTAAAAATATTCTGACAAGCTGTAGTTCATACCACAATAATCTATTTGGAATCATCAGTAAATCTTGGGAAGTACATACAGAAACATATTTGCAATGCAGTTAACAGTATGTGATAGCTAGGCAGCAAAACTGGTGTGGGTACACAGCCGTTAACTTGTAGTTGCAGGACTGCTAGTTAAGGGAAAACAGCAGATATGAGACTGAGAAAAAAAATGAATGAGAGGTTTGTCTTTGAACCTGTATGTTAGGAATGGACTACTTAGGGTATCAAAGTATAAAAAAAGAGATGTGTGTGAGAAGAGCTACTCTGTGAACGAATCCTGCCGTAGGAGTTGGCAGGATTCAACCATCCTTCTTCCCGATTTCTGTGACATTTAGTGACTTCATGAAGGCCTATAGCAAAATGCCCATAGGAAGATGCCCTCTCTATCTGTTGACATTGTTAGTGCTGAAACAAATTCCTAACAGTTACAAAGCGTTTAATTTGGATGCTGCTTTAATATCCTATTCTGTAAAGCCATCTTATAATAATATTTGGTCCACCAGAGCTTACTGCTGTGTGGGACACTGAACATCAACCAAGGCTGAGTGGTACTGAGTGGTAGGTACTTCAAAGCTTGTAAACTCAGTACTAACTTTACAGAGATATGAACTCTTTTGTTTTATTTGTAATTGACCAGAGCCTTTTTATTTGTAGTTTCTGGTACGCCGAAATAGCAGTGTACTTATTTGATTTGTCTTCCTTTGAAAGGCATGGTAGATGGAGTATAAACCATTAAATAAAACTAATGGAGTGAGAGTCTGGTGTAGTGTATGGATGAACAGCTGCAAAAAACTAATAGAAAGAAAAAGGAGTCCTCAGGAGTTGTCCTGAGGAGTAGTCCTCATGGTGAAATATGGAAAGGGAGTGTATCTCCTGAAAGAGCTTACTTTCTCTCCCACTGCCCATCAAAAACTACTCACTCAAATGATGATCCTGTCAAGCTACTTTTTGTAGAGAGGCATATACTATTTCTATCACTGATTTTCCCAGATAAATATTTTTAGCTGAAAGATCGTGATATATCTCCTGATATCAAATGGCAAGAATTTCACCCACCAGTTTAGAACCTTTACTAAAGTACTTTGTTTGCTGGTGGAAGAGGAAAGAGAAGTTGCAGAAGCAGGGGAGTGCATGCAATTTCAAAGGATTTTTGACATGATCTAAAAATCTCTTTAATTTTAGGTCTCTCATACACAGTAGTAATAATCACGTTGTAATTTGTTTATCTGCATAATTAATATCAGGAATGCATAATACACCCTTTCTCTCTCCCGGAAACTATAACAACTTAGAAAGCTTACTGTAGAGCTGAAAATGTTTCAGCTGTAAAAATCTGTTGTCATAGGTCTTCCCTAGACTAGAATAAGGCACTTTGTGTCTTCCTTAGCAGCTGGAAATTTCATTTTCTCATTATTTAAAGTCCGTAGGAATTATCATAGAGATCAAATTTATACAAAAGCAGACATCGAAGTATGGGATGGATTGATATGATTGTCCCAGTAGTGTGCAGTTCAGTGTTTTTATGAGGTGGGACTGACCATGGTGATGCATAGTCTCTTTTTAAAGTTCCTTTCTCTCCAAGAAGTCTGTCTCCAGATGTGCAAAGGTGTGCTAGTCTGTTGAAATTCAGGCTTTAAAAAAAAAAAAAAAGAAAAAGAAGAAAAAAAGAAAAAAAAAGGAAAAAAAGAAAAAAATAATAAAAAAGAAAAAATATTTTTAAAAGAAAAATAAAAAACTAAATCTGCTTATGTTACATGCATGTACTAAGTATTCATCAGCTGTGCTTGAAAAGTCCAATAGAGCCAAGACGTTACAAATCTTGTGCAACTTAAAGAATTGGGTGCAAGGAAACAAGGTGTAGGTGACAGAATGGACACACAGAGGCTCATAGTGTGAGATTATTGGTCTTCATATATGTTTCTGTATGTTTACAGTGTGTAAATAAGTATATTTATGCTTGAAATAACTTAAGAGTTAAGAAAGAAAAAGGATAGAAATAAGCTGGTCATTGAAGATAGAGCCTTACAGTTTTCATTTTCATTATATTTTATTTTATCTGGATATGTTTTCAAGTGCATGTAGTTGTGAAATGTTAGCTCTGTAAACAATATTAGGATTTACTGATGGTCATCTTCTTGGAAAACATACTCTTAATATAGTAAAGGTATGTGTTTAACCTAAACAGTTAAAAAAGGCTATGGAAACCAAATTTCCTCTCAGTAGGAGCAGTGAGAGG